ATGTGGTTTCTCCCTGTTCATGCTCAACTAGACTGTGGCTGCAGAAGTCACTCTCTAGCTTGTAACAGGCCAGGTCACTTCTGCCTCTTTATTTCTCCTCTGGTTTAATTTCTGCATCATATTGAACAGAAGCATCATATTGAACAGAAGCTTTTTGTCTTTACTTGCACGACCTGTAATGACCTATTCCCACCTTTTCTTCCCTCTAGTATTCTCCAGTCACATATCAGCTCATCCTTTCCATCTGCAGGTGTCTATAATCAATCTTCAAGCGCTTACATTCCATTTTGTGCTTTGTCCTCTCTTCAGAAGCATCCCGTTAAACTTCCCTCAAACTCCCTCCAGATCCTCTTTCAAATTCTGCCTTAACCTTTTCTTTTGCTGGGCTGTCTACAAACTCCTTGTCAACAGTAAAACAGAGTACTGAGACCAGTTTTCCTGATCAGTTTTGTCTTCTTGTTTTTTGTATTTCTTATCTATACCCAGTTTTTACTGATTGTGAGGTCCTGCAGTTGGGCCCTTCTTTGAATTCTATCTTTGTCCAATACACGGGACAAAGGGGCTGTTCCACAATCTGAGCAGCCAGGATCTGTGATGGTATAAGCAAAAACCATGTAATAATAGTAATAAAATAACAAGAAGTTAGAACGTGGCATCATGTGCTATAGGAGCTCCTCTCCTCCCTTCCCCCTCTTCCTTCAGATTTGCGATATTTCAAATTCTTTATACAACAAAACCCAGTAAATGAGGACATTTCAGAATAAAGTTTAGTAGCTGATGTTTCCTTTCAGCTGCTGAAGTGTTTCTCTGTGATCTACTGAGTAATGATGGCATTTCGAGCAGTTTCAGCAGGGAAGCCTCTGTGGGCACTTCTGTATGTCCCCCCAAGATAAGACAAACATCTGGCAGCCAGGCTAGGCTGAAGGAAGGTCGCATGCAAGGTTATGAAGCTCTTTCATGCAAAAATAGAGGACTCCAGTCTCCCAGGCTTGCTGCCAGCATATCACCTTCTAGTTTTGCAGAAATGATCTTGAAAGGGGACCTAAAAAGGGCTGAAGGGGCACAAGGAGAATGTTGAAATGACATAGTTTCATCTTCATGCAGTTTAGTACTAATTTTGTCCTTTGTCTTTAAGCTGCCTTTTAAGTGCTGTTTGTCTCTGTGGGAAGCAAATGGGTCACGTTGTTCTGTGTTTCTACTGTAATACGCTGCCTGCTATTTTTCTCTTAGATTATTTGTGTAATCTTTTTTGTGCAATCTGTTTGTTCTTGAGTATTGCAAGCTTTGCCTTTGCTACTTCTTTCCCAATAAGCAGTGCAACTTGTTCTGTATTCACTCATGGGTATTCTGCACACAACGGACTGGGTTATTTCAACCAGTGTGAAAATATTAAAATGGGGAACATGTGTGGGCACTTAATTGTGGTGAGTCCAACCACAAATACCTTCGCCGTTGGTAATTGGCACACAGGAAAAACAGACCTTTGTTTTGTTTTTATCAGACATAATGATAGATACATTGTTTTTAGTGGGGTTTTTCTGGTTTTCTAAGGAAATGAGGCTTGTGCAATCTCACTGCCTGTGTGCATGTGCCTGTCTGCTTGTCAGTTCCTCCCTCACCAACACCACTTGAAACTAATAGCCATTTTCAAGCAAATTTGAGCAAGACACAGGAGCTGGGAGAAGTGACCAGCTTTTACAGAAGTCTTGTGGGTTCCCAGATTGCACCAAGGTCTGCAGAAGGTGCAGTCCCTAATGGCCATGTCACTGCAAGCCAGATCAGTTGTGTATTTGCCCACATGCCTTTATGTGGATCCAACCACCTAACTGTTAGCTCCCAAATTTGAATGTTTTGGCATACTTGCTTTTACCCTTCGGGCGAGTGAGTCAGTTGGGGTGTTACTAGGCACAGAGCTTGTGTTTTGATTCTGACTGGAGTGGCCACATCTCATGAAAAACATGGTTTGCTCCAGGCCACAGTGTTACAATTTGCATATAAACTTATGAAAAAGGAAGCTTTCTTTAAGCTTTCCTGTGCAAGAGTTTATAGGGGCAGTTCTGTCTGTGTGCATAATAGCAGAAGCTGTGCTTCTCAAAAATGTAGACAGGTTAAGTCTGTCACTGCCTGAATGGGAATCTTCTGTGGAAAAACCCAGAAAGAGGAAGGAAAGCCTAAGGAAATACCAACTTTAAGGGAAGAAGTTGGCCAAGACTTCTGTTGTGCTGCTCTTCAGTTTGTACCTGGCCACCAGCAGCTTAGTTGGGGAATGCCTCAGAGTCATGCAGGAACATAGCCTCAGGGCACCTTTGGGAGACAGAGAAGATGTCTTTATGCCCTTTGCCTAAGAGAGGACGGAGGTGCAAAGGCACCAAGTGATTTGCCAGAGATTACAAGAGTGTATATTTGAGTTAGGAAACAGACCCAGGTGTCCTGACACAAGGAGTACAGCTCAAAGTATGATCTCTGCATAGACAGCTTCTCCGGTAAATGGAGAGATGCCTTGGTCAAAGAGGAAGATAAATGTTGAAGTGTGCAAGAGCTGGCTAAATTATGAATATGAGAAGAGGAGGAGGGGAATAAAAGATTCCCACATGTTCTACTCAGATGTTAACAAAGAAAGCTGAGAAGTGTTTGCATAGACACTACATTATTCCGTGTCCAAATGCCTCATAAAAATAATACCGGATGATCACAGAATGGCACACCAGGGAAAATAAATTCTTCAGCGGAATATTCCCCCTGGAAAAACACTGTGTAAAGTAATACACTAATGGCTTTCAATTTCATGTTTTATATAGAGAGATATTAACTGCTCCCCAGACATCTCTTCACATTACAGCCCAGCTACACAAGCAGTTTGGAGAAGGCCCGGGAGCACGCTCAGTCTTGTCCGCGCTCAGGACCACGCAGTGCTCTCCTGGTGTACGTGCAGCTCCTGTGCTGTGTACAGGAGGTTTCTTCTACCACGTTCCTGGAGCAGTACTTCTCCTGTGGTTCTCTCCAGTGGGATGGTTTTTTTTCTTCCTCATGGTCCTCATGGTTTTTTCCATTCTTCCCCAATGCTCTGTAGCCTCACCACCATGCTGGGAATCCTGCATTCCTTCTCTGCTTATAAAAAAGGAGTTCTCACGAGAAGTATTACAGTGGAGTGATTAAAGCACAACACTGTCAATCAAAATGCTAATAACAAATGCTAAAGAAAGTTAGGTTTATAAACAACATTATTAATTCCTTTTTGGGGAGTTTCCAGGCTTGTCTGGATTTATCTGGTGACTTCTCTCTCCCCACTGCTTGGACTGGGAGCTGTTTGAGTCGGGAACTGTCTGTCCTGTTTCATGCCAACTACGGTTATACCATTGCAGCAAATCAGAATGATCTAGGTTCTTTTCCAAGCTTTCCCAATATATCTCAAATGTGTATATATATCATCCTGCTACATCCTGAGGGATCCAAAAGTAGCTTACATGCTTTGTTCTCTGGATGTAGCTTATTGGAGTCTGGGAAGGACAAGGAAGAAGGAGTGGTTGCAGGGACATTGATGGGGAACTGCACAAGGACAGCATCCCTGCCGTTGGGGTGATGAGACATGTCCATGTTCTTTTAGGAAGTTGTGCAGTATTTGTTTGAAGAGGTCAATAAGCAAAGGTCATGATATAAGAGAACATGGTATTGTTGCTGGATTATTTAATTACTATCAAGGTTATATTATTTGAATACACCTTTATGAGCAATTCTATCTTGAACTCATTCTGCCTTCCTGCTTACACCTCATCCCTGGCTTCCCTTCCCCTCCTTCCCACCCTCAGTGACCACACCACTCCACCCACAGAGCCCTGATGGAGGAGTACAAGGTCCCAAGACTGGAAACATCACAATTCCCAAACTGGAGAACACTGTTTTGAGTGTGACAAAGTCCCAGACTATAGTTGCTCTCTTGCCTTAGGTGGAGCTTTCCTGTGTAGGGTGGTGGGATTGCATTAAATACCTCCCATGACTTTGTGCATGAGTTATTTTCAACACTGATTGCTGGGTAAGGACATCAGACCTGCATGGGCTCTCTCTGTCTTCTAGAACTCAAGGGAGTGACAGAGGACAATTGCAAAGGTGTGCCTTCTACCCACCCTCCACCACAATCTTTCCTAGGAAAATGTCATTCCCGTGTTCTAGAAAAACCCCTTTCTCTGGAATCTTGTCTTCGCTTTAAATCTGTCTGCCACACAACATTTTCAATAATAAATACAAGGCAGCAAGCCTTTTGTACATGTGTGCATGTGCAGGTTTTCTATGTGTTATAGACCTGTGTGTGGCACTAGGAAAAATTTTCAGAAACAGAGCTCTTAGGGCTTGTCTTTGCTTAGACTCCTTATTACCACCTTCTGATACACCTTTCTTGGAGGACGGTAAGAATAAAGTATCCACACATCAGTTTCTTGAATAATAGTTTCTGTGCTTTAAATAGATACAATATCTTAATCCATATTAACCTTCAAACAGAAAAAAAAAAGTAATTGGCTCCATTTAGGGAATTGGTTTAAGCTGTACAAGCAAAAACTACTTTTTAAAATGGTAACAATTGCGCTGCCACTAGGCAGCTTTATGAGGCATCCTACCACAAACTCCTTTCATGTGGGGACAAGTCTTTAGGCCCAGGTTTATCCCATCTAACTGAGGAGCTGAGGGTGACTGTATAGCTGGATTGGCTGATAGCTGAATGGTTTGCATCTGGGGCTTAGACTCTTTATTATGGTCACTGGCCAGCAGAAGCAACAGATCTGATACCAGTGCAGTCTTGGGAGTCAGTTTCAAGCCTCTCTAGATTTTCTATCACCAGAATGCCTTCCAGTAGCAGCGGATCTTTGACAGGAGCAGCACAAGTTACTCTTCTGTGAGCTGAGCTGCCATGTCCCCCTTGCCCACTACACGACACAGGTGTGAGAGGACCTTCTCTGCAGTTGAGACCAGGAGCTTGTTGTGACTATGTCCTCTCCCTTTGGTGACAGGCCGCTGTGCCCGCTGTGGGGAGAATGTTGTTGGGGAAGGCACCGGCTGCACGGCCATGGACCAGGTCTTCCACGTGGAGTGCTTCACCTGCATGAAGTGCAACAACAAGCTGAGGGGACAGCCCTTCTACGCGGTGGAGAAAAAAGCCTACTGTGAACCCTGCTATATTGTAAGTACCCACCCTGGTTTTAATGCACAGACATTGGAAATGCTGATTTTTTTCATTGCTGTGCAACTGCTTTACAGTTAAAACCTGAGAGTCCTGTGGTAGTACCATGGGTGTCAGTTTTTCCATGGTTTTCAGAAGAACTCTGGTTTTTTAGCTTCCTGGATGGATTTTGTTTCTTGGTCTAACCTCCCTCTGAAATGAGGCGGCCAAAGACAAGGGAAGAGGTGGCTCTTTCTTAGGAGCAGACTGTGCAGTGATTTTTAAGTGGTAGTGTTGTTTTTAGAAGCTTTTTCTGTGATGAGAAACGTGATACCAAATGCTTACAGACTGTGATGACAACTAAGATTAAGGAGGTGGGATGCAAGATAGTACTGAAACTTCTAGCATTACCTTGAACTAAGGGTCTTTGGACTGGATATCTTGATGCTTACCTTACCCTAAAATTTCATTTTGTGCCTCCCACAACTTCTTCTTAAAGCAAGCAACAGTTGCTTTGAGAAGCTGCACCTTTTAAGAGGCTTCCATAAGAGCTAGTCAGAACCTGTTGCAGAGTTGTAAATTAAGGAAATGCCACACAATGGGCCTGAGGCCTTACCTTGCTGTGACCTTAGCATACAGTATATAGGGATAATACTTATAATTTAGAATAAGAACAGCATCAAAACATTCTTGAAAGTCTTGATGGGTCTTCCTCTAAACCTCCAATCCAGAGCTTTTTTTCGTAAACTGGGCCTGAGACCCTTTCAGAATTGGATTTGTGCTTCTGAAAGTAAAAATTGATGCTTTACTTGACATTTCTGGCATTTCAATAATAATTAAACCAATAATACATGCTTCTGAAAAGGTCACCAATATCCTGTTATTCCTTCTGGTTTTGCAGAGCCTTTGTAGTAGGATTATTCCTGAAATGTTGAATATAAAAAGGGAGAATACTGTCTTATTTACTGTGTCAGTGATATATGATCCTTGTTAAAAACTTGCTTTTAAAGACTAAATGATCTTTTGATGGAACCTGTACCTTTTAAACCATTTCCATTTTTGTTTGCACTAAAATGATTGCATCATGAAACATTTAAGATCAATTCCATGGTGAGTTTGACCATGTGCAAAGCACTGCAGCCTTTAGGAAGGTGCATTCATAATGTGACAGAAGCAACTTTATGTAACCAAAATCAAACATTTCATTGACTTCAGGCTGGAATTGACTTCAGCTGCTTGCAGATTCATACTTTCTTTTCCTCTTTTTTTAAATCAAGCATGCATTCTTCACCACTCATCTGCTTTAGTTTGGGAAAACATCTGCATTAGCCACTGTAGTAATGGTTTAAGATTATTTAATTCCATTACTTATACACTTCATTAGCCTGAGTGAGTTGTTGGCAAGGATTCAGTAAACTTCATACATTAGGAGATAAAAGGATAAAAAAGGAAAGGGAGAAGGATTCTGTTCCTTGTTTTCTTTCAAATTTATCTTCTATCTATTTAAGGGATAAAGGAACAATAATTGCCTAGTTGCATCTGCGTTTGTACATTTTGTGATACAGCTTTGCAGCTCTGAGTACAGAGGAAAGAGTAAACGTTTAATAGCTTTCTTTTATAGAACCAGAAGGGGCCCTTAAGTGTTTATCCATGCCATCCACAAAAACTTGGTTATGGACTTAACCCAAAACATGTCTGTATCCATTTGCTGCTGCACATGCAGAGGGAAAGGATGGCAAAGCTGATGGGGCTATGTAAGTGTAGCTGGACAGCTGGTACCATGAGTGGAAAATGGAAAGCAGGAACCTGCCAATCTGATGAAGCAAAGAAGGGGGAAAAAAATGCAAAAAAAAACCCCAACAAACAAAAAACCACTCACACAAGCACACATTAAACTCTTAAATGTGGGAGGAGCAAGTGTTGGGAGCCTAAGTCTCTGTAGCCTTCAGAAAGTCTGGGACTCTGCTGTGCCAAAAAAACAGATCTGCAGGAGATCTACTCTGTTCTGGGCTCTGCGGTTCAAGAAGGACAGGGAACTGCTGGAGAGGGTACAGAAAAGGGCTACAAAGATGATCAGGGGATTAGAACATCTCCCTTATGAAGAAAGGCTGAAGGTCTTGGGGCTTTTTAGTCTAGAGAAGAGACGACTGAGGGCGGATCTCATCAATGTGTGTAAATACTTAAATGGTGGGTGTCAGAAGGATGAGGCCAGTCTTTTTTCAGTGATGCCCAGTGACAGGACAAGAGATAACAGGCACAAACTTGAACATAGAAAGTTCCACCTGTGAGGGCGGCAGAGCGCTGGAACAGGCTGCCCAGAGAGATAGTGGAGCCTCTGTCTCTGGAGGTGTTCAAAACCCATCTGGACACCACCCTGTGCAACCTGCTTTAGGTGAACCTGCCCTGGCAGGGGGGGTTGGACTGGATGATTGCCAGAGGGTCCCCTCCAACCCCAGCATGCTGTGATCCAGGCACCTGTCATGCCATTGGCTTTAAGCCTCAGGACTTTGTGTCCTGAGTACGTCTCATTGATTTTTTCAGTGAAACGAGGCCTGCGTTGGCTTTGGTAGGATGCTGAGTGCTTATGTACAGTGCGGGCCTGAGCTACACTTGCAGGTTGTTCTCACAAATGCATTGGAGGCCCTCAAATTGCTGAGGCACAACCTGAATGCTTTTGCCTTTAGATGTGTGATGTGGTCATACTGAAGTCAATGAGAGTTAATGACCTGCTTAAAATCTAGTGTGTGCTAGAGGATTTTGGCGAATGGTGGCCTCTGACTCTTTTGGAGCTTCCCCAAATCCCATTATCAGAAAATAACTTCAACAGTTGGAGCCCTAGTTCTGTAGGAAATCAATGAAACTAAAGAACCTAGACCTAAATTCGTGAGGACCTGAATTCCTGTGAAAGGTGAAGCCTGTGTGACTGTCCCAAGATTGAACAGCTAATCCATGGCTGTGACCAGCTGAGAAAACGGGATTTTTAGCTGGTATAAACCTCAGTAATTCAGTGAGGCTTGTTTACTGGTATACCTAATACACACTGATTTCTAGCACACATCCTCGTTTCCCCAAGTCCAAAAGTCTTGACCTATTATGCAAGCCAGTAGGCCAAGCTGCTTCATTTCTATAAAGAAAATGAACTAATATTTGCCTGGTTGTGATATATAAATTCATTATTTCTTTGATTATTTTTTTAATAATTCCCTTGTGTGACTTGTGGCCTTATGTGCCTGAAAACTATGTGCAAATATAAAAATACAAGTTTTTCAACAGTTAGAATTGGCTAATCTTCTCAGTTTATTATGTGACTCTTCTTAGTTGTGGTGGAGTGAAGCCGTAATTAAGATTATTGCGAAGAGCTGAATTTAATTACTGGTTAGTCAATACCACGCCTAAATAGCCTGCGGAAGGGTTGGGGTTTTTGTTTTTGTTTCTGGTTTTATTTATCAGTGACCCAGTTAAGATTAAATTCCCCAGAAGTCTGAATTAACATCTAAGGAGTTCAATCACCTGTTTAAAAAAAAAAAAATCAACATGTTTTTCCTAATCAGAATTTGAGTACCAGTGTTAATTTCTTTCACACAAAAATCCCCCCATCCAAAAGCCAGACACTATCATTTCCTGTTACATGTTGTGAAGGCAGTGAGTTCTGTTGCCAATGTGTTTTCTGGTTTTGTGCTACATCCAAGGATTCTTTCATTATTGATGTTATTTCTAAAAGAGTACCAGTCTTCTCCATTAAGACACTTCTGCTGAACTAAAAGCAGCTGTAAAAAATAAAGTGTTAATAGAAGACAGATGTCTCCTAGTCATTACGACAGTCAAGTAACATCTGAAATATCATGACAGGATTTCCAGTGTAACCAGTGTACTGCTGTACACGTGATGAGTGCTGTATCTACAGTATGTGATCGGTATTCTTTTCTCCTCCCTTACAGAGTAAATTACTGACAAAAAACATTTGGTCTGCTTTCTCTAAGTAACTGAAGAGATTTTTAGCGCTGGACTTGGTGCAGAGAAAAGGTTAAGAGTAATATCAGTGGAAGTGTTGTTATAAAAGATTGAAGAGCAAGATGTTAGAGCAGTGCCAGCTGTCTGCTTTCCAGATACTGTATTATCATAAGGACTGAACACAAGGTTAACCAGGCACACCGGTCTGGCAAGAGTGATGCTGCTGTTTTGTGAATGGGATGTTCTTTGATGTCCTGATGACTTTCTCTGGGACATGGAAATTTTCCTCCATTCTTTATCCGCTTTCCTGGCAGTCCAGCAGTTGGCAGTTGGAGATAAACTCTCCGAGGCTGAGAGGTGCTGAGGACCTGCGATTAGTGCAGAAAGCAGCAAGATCTTCAGATGTTTCTGGCCTCTGAGGGTTTCTTCTGTCGCGTCCAAGTCAATGTGACCTGCAGCTGGACCCTGAGGGAAGGGCGATGATGTGGTGGGGAAGGGGATGAGAAAACAGAAATAACTAACAAAGCAAAGCAGAAATATCCAGGGTCAGGTGAAGGACTTCAGAGAAGTGGAGGGTTAGAAATTGTGAGCAATCAAAGGACAGGAAAGGAAACTCATTTCTGTCTAGCTGGAGTGGGGGAATATGATGGGTTTGCTGTCCAGTGCCTTATGGAAACCCAGGGAATGAGGCCCTGTTTCTGCTGCTTGCTGCAAGGTGTTGAAGATGTGACTTTAAACCCTACCCCAAACATCACATGCGAGGGTCTTTCGTGGTGAGGCTCTTCTTTGCATAGTACTAAAGCTGTGGAAATGCCTGAAGGGAAAAGCATTGTGTGGAGGTCATGCCCTGATCGTTGCCATTCCCCAGCTTTAAACTCAAGATCACAGTGCTTCGCTTTCTTACCGGATTATTCATTTTGTGAGCAAAAAAAAATGAGATCTCTTCAAAGCTTCTCTCTCTTACTAGGTTCTAACTCCCTGGCCTATCAGGAGCTGTAATTCAGTAGGAGGAGATAGTTCAGAAGACAAGAGAAATGCTGATGTTTTAGTAAATGGTTCAACTAGAGCTG